GTTTTGATTTATGATTTGTGGCACAAGAATCACACCAAAAAAACACACTCAAGGAAAATGGATCACAATAGAGTGAATGCTTCATAAACAGTCACACAATAATCTCCTTATAACTTCTGATAGAAATCATCTTCACACACTTGGTTAATATTAACAGTAACAGGATTTAAAAATGAATCACTTTAATTTCACATGTACTTTATCTGCTTATTATTGAACCTTAAAATAATTTCCTACCAGTCTTGGCTGTTGATGGCGTCTCCATATCCTGGCGTATCTACAACCGTGAGGCGAAGCTTCACTCCTCTCTCCTCGATTTCTACGGTTGATGCTTCAATCTGAACCGTCCTCTCGATCTTCTCTATCAAAGGTACATCAGTAAGAGGACACACAGTCAGTCGATCTCTTTCACTAAAAGCCCCATCTCACTGAGCTGCAGCTGATGGGAAACAAGTTGCTGGAAAAATCCTTCAAAATTACAAAAAACTACTTGAATTTTCTGCTGCAGTCAGAATTCTGACAATCAAGTCATGAGCTCACATTTTGAGCATTCAGTTTTTGAAAATAACATTTCTGTGTGCAGAGCTCACAGATTTGCATTCTTGACCGTGCACATTAGCAGTAATTTGTCCATATTTGTGTCTTTTTGAAGCGCACACCGAAGCAGATGTCGTTATTTTAAGCACAAGCCTAGAGACAGACTTTCAGAGAATCCCTCCTGTCTTTCTGGAAGTCACAACTGAAAATATTCACTTTTTTCCCTCCTCCACCTGCGGGGTGAAACTAAAGATTACATATGCATTTCATTTTCAATACATTTTTAATGGAAAATCTATTAAAAATTACTTTTTGCAACAGAAAAAAAAATCATAATTGGAGATTTTATTGTATTTTTTGGTCCACCTCCGTCCACCTAGCAACAGCCCCCTTGTTTATGATTTAATCTGCTCAAGTCCACTTTAGACATTAAGAAAGGCAGATTTGAAAAGTTCTTTATAATTATTATTGCTTTTTAGAAGCGTGTTTTTTAGACCTGGACTACAGTCGCAGACATTGTCCACCAGAGCTCCCTCTTTTTCTTTTGTCTTTTCCATTTTCAGGGGTTGCCACAGCGAGTCCTCCTCCATCTCACTGATTATCAGCTCTGGGGCCCTGAGACACGGTGGAGACACCTATGACGGCCAGGTGACTATTTTGAACGAAAAGCTGTTGCACAAATGTATTTCACGTGTTTAAACGACAAGGCTGTGCACCTCTGTGACTTAAGAGAACCCTACGAAAGTTGTGAGACATTTAGGGAACTTCTTCCACCAACTACTTGCACTCTAGTGAAATAGAGTCTTAAGTTGCTAAAGCAATTTTAAATGAGCTCAAACTAGAAAATGTTACAAACAAACCACCTAACTGGACGGATGAGTGTGTCGTACCTGCTGCCCCAGGGATGACTCGCTCCGGGTAAAGGTCAGTCAGGAAGAGGCTGTTGATCAAAGTGGATTTTCCCAGTCCAGATTCACCTTTACACAACAATCAGAACAGTTTCAGTCCATAAGGCTCTAAACTGTTGGCTGGCAATGAAAAAAGGATCAGGGCCTAAAGTAGCTGGTGGTAAAATGAATCAAAACAGCATGAGAAACAGCACCACACAAGACCTCACGTCAGACACAAGGGAATGTTGTACACTTCAACTTATTTTGCTCGTTTTATGGTACAATGTGAGAACAGATTAGCTGGAATGCAGTTTTAGTGCAGGAATTTCCTGTCACAGTCTGTGTTTTTGTCTCCCATCACCTGCCTTAAAAAAACTAAAGAGGTGGTTGAGAATTGTTTATTGCATTAATGCTTTTGCTCCTCAAACAGAAAAAGCTACGAGCTAATAATAGAGCAAAAGCCTTATTTACTTGTGAGCCGGGGGTCTAAACAGACTGAGGGAGTTTTCTCGCAGCAGAAAAACCAGGAGGCCTCGCTGTCCTCTGTGTGAATCAGTCCCTGGAGGCACACGGCCTACATTCTTCTCTAGTTTATTTTAAAGCAGAAGGATGAGCAGTGTAGCTTCCACCCCCTCCCACAAGTACCGAGGTTCACACAGTCACGCATCAGTGGCTAAAGCTGCTGCTAGCACCATCTGAGCAACTTGATGCGACTTCTGAAGATTTGAACAAGCAACGTCCCACCATCATTTGATACAATGGGAAAAAAATATTTGCATTCAGAATTCAGAGTTTACTCTCTTTATGTCTAGTTTGAACCTCATCAATGAGATGCAAGGTCGTTTTTTTTTTTAAGAATTAAAAAAAAAAAGCTTTCAGAACTGAAATAAATCCAGAGCAGAACACAAAATGGCCGTCAGAAGGTGATGACACACTCACCAACAACCATGAGGGTGAACTCAAAACCTTTCTTCACAGACTTGCGGTGAACCTGATTGGGAAGGTTGGCGAACCCAACATAACCTGGCGTCTCAGGGTTGGTGAACTGTCCCTGCTGTGGACAAACGGCAAGAGGAGAAAAACAAGACTGTTGTGAGCTTCAAGAAAACAACATGGAAGACTTTCGTCTTTTTAGGGAATTAGGATGCATCTTTAAATCATATGTGCTGCGAGACATGTCAGATTGTAACTGTCACGGTTAAGGGCCATTTTGGCCATTTGAAAAACAAGCTCACTAGAAAAGGTTATGAACAACTGATCAATTAGCTGATGTAGATAGCTCTTTGTACAACCTAAATTTGGAAAATAGAGTTCAAGTTTCAAAGGACTGGCCAGCCAGCAGCTGGTCCAAAGACCAAAATGGATTGAGGCCGTCTTAAAATGGCTCAAACATTCATGAAAATGTTTTATAAACCTTTACATCTCCATCAATTTCCTAATACACACCTGAAGTGTCTATGGCTAGCAAGCACAAACCAAGGTAACAGCAGCTAACTATAGCACTTCAGACAATAATTTCATAGCAACGCTGCTGAAATTCATTTTGAACTGAAAATTGAAGCTATCAACTACTAATGCTATTATTGATACTTTAAGTGCCGTCAGTTTAACACCATACGCCTTTTCCAACAAATATTAAACTTATGCCATAAGTGGCTTAAGGCTGCACTGAAAGTTGAAGCCAAAGTATTTAGCACATCTGCAAGATCTTGTATAAGTCTCACATATATTTTTGAAGCCAGATGTTTAAGGCCAAGGTTTCTTTACTGTCATTCGCATCGCATGTGGTACATGTGGTGGAACGAAATGGTGTACACGGGGTCCCAGTTACATCCAACAAACGTATAAATTGTAAAAGAAAAATAGTGATAAGATCTAAACTCTGAATAGACTAAGTACACAACAGCAGCGCAATGTTTACACGCATTGTATTAAAAAAAGATACAAAACCATTTATTTCTCACTGACATTAAACCAGACTAAACCTTTTCTATTTGAAGTCACTTAGGATTCCCAAAATTTGTTCTATTTAGTCTGAAGCCATTTACCAATAGACTGAATAATGTTTTTTCAGAGAATTGTATTACTTTCTTCAAAGTAACAAGTGCACATCTGTGTTCTTAGTATTTAGTATCACCGTCTTTAAATAGTTTGATTTGGATAAAATGTTTAGCGTTTCCGTCCATAAGTTGCAGTTTGCTGGGATCACGTCCCGTTCCTTCTGACAGAACTAGTGGAACTGAGGCAGGTTTGTAGGCCGCCTCGCTCTCACAAATTTTCTAACGGGACTGAAATCAAGTCTCTGTGATGAACTCTCAGAAACACTGACTTTGTTGTCCTCAAGATACCATCTGTTGCGTGAAGTGCACCTGTCCCTCTTGAAGCGAAACACCTCCACAACATGATGCAGCCACCTCCGTACTTCACAGTTGGGATGGTGCAAGCTTCCCTCATTCCCCTCCGAATAAAACAAGTCATTATGGCTGAATAATTTGATTTTAGTTTCCTGAGAACATTGGACATGTCTCCAAAACTAAAGGTCTTTGTCTCTGTGTGTTTACAAGCTATAAACTGTTGGGTTGTTTTGGGAGTCATTTCTTCTTCCTCACTGAGTGTCCTTTCTGCCCACATTGTAATGACTCTGACCAGCTTCAGCAGCATCTCCTCAACATCTGCAGCTTTTGTTTTGGGAGTCGATACACACATTTCACACCAACACACATCTAACTAAGGAGCACAGAACTTGTCTCCTTCCTGAGCTGCATGATGGCACGGCATTCTCGTGGTATTTATATACTTGTGTAAGTTATTTGAACGGATGATACTTTCAGGCATCTTTAAATTGTACCCAAAGATGAACCAAAAGTGTGGAGGTCAACAATTTTCTTCCTGATATCTTGGCTGATTTATTTTGATTTTCCCATGAGGCAATTCAATTCAATTTATTTATAAAGCACCAAGTCACAACAGAAGTTGTCTCAGGGTTTTGAACAGAAACACACGTACATTATAAAAGCCAATTAGTAAAAATGATCTAAGGAAGTCAGCAGACTCGTTGAATCTTCACTTCATTGCAGTCTAGGAGACAGTGGAAAGGAAAAACTCATTTTTAAAAGGAAGAAACCTCCAGCAAAACCAGGCTCGGGACAAGCGGCCATCTGCTTCGACCGGCTGAGAAAGAGAGAGCAGGAAGTACAAAGCAGCACGGTGTTTGAGGTGTGCCTTCAATTAACTCAAATACTGTCAACTAACCAATCAAAAGCTTCCAAATCAATGACATCACCCGGGCTTTCCCAAACTGTTCAAGGCAAAGTAATCGTATGTAAGCTTCGATTTAATGTCAGACAGTGGGAGAAATTGTTTCTGCTATTTTTTATAGTGTATGTAAACATCTTGTTTCAACTGTAGGTGCTTTTGTGATACTTCAGTTACTTAGTTACACAATCATCCAAAAAAGATGAACTAAAAGTTTTCAAAAGCAATATCCCAGAATGAATGTAATGGAAGCTTAGGCCTGTCACAATAAACAATAAATCAATTAATCGCATGATGAATGAAAATTATCGACCTCATTTTCATTTACCGGCTTTATCGTTTCTTCGTGTCTCTCTCTTTCTACTGAAGACACTGGATGACAAAAGGCTCAACTCCGGTGCTCTTCATTGACCCCTCGCTTTCTATTTTCTCTTTAAAATCCATTTTAACCGTCCAAAATCGCGTTTTTGGATCGTTAAAAACAACTAAGATGAGAAGCTAAGCTACTAGCTAAGCTAACAGGCCGACCTCAGGAATAAATCTCCATCTTGTCGAAACTCCAAAATTCACTGTTGAAACCCGTACCTTCGTGTAAAAAGTTGTTTTTCTCTGCAAAAAGAAGCTGAGAACTTGTTTACTGATTATTTTTATTTAAAGCTTTGTGTGACAAATGCTATGCTAAAGAGCTCAAATCACCGAGCGTCCACCATATCACCATGTCGGCCCATGTCACGTCAAGGGCCCTCCCTCCCATTTTTCCTAAAGAGACACGCGCTCAACTATCCATCCTTTGGTTCCAACTGTATTGTACTGCCATCAGGTGGTCATAAAAGGTACTACACGCAAAACAAATCAACATTTGTTCTAAAATTTGATAATTATTGTTAAATTTCAAAACAATATTATCGTTTATCGCAATAATTTCAGAGACAATTAATCGCCCAGCAAAATTTGTTATCGTGACGGGCCTAATGGAGCTACACTAACATTCAGCCACCATGAGCGGAGCAATTCTAGAATCTTGTTCTAGATCTATATTCTGCTAGATTTTATTCTGTCTAGAATCTAGAATCTGCTCGTAACACTAATGAAAATATTCTCGCTATAACATGTGACTGAGCTACGGCCTTCGTTAAAGGAAATTAAATCCCAATCACATTGTGACAAAAAAGTAAGATTCATCTTGATTTTTCCACAGAGCCCTTACTTCAAAAAGGCTGAAATATCCTTTTGTCAAGGCCCAGAAATAACAGAAACAATTACTGTTATTGATCGCTTGAAGATCCCGAGGACCAAGTCTCGTTTTGGTTTAATGTCCTTTGAATTTGCTGACTGGAATCTGCTGCAGAAAACATTGGGACTCACTGCGGTCATTTCAGTTTCTACTTTCAAAAGTTGTTTGAAATCCTTTTTTTAAAGACACTTGTAAATGTTTTATCGCTTATTAATGGTTTGTTTTAGATTATTTTATTTCTGTTGATGAGTTTTGCATTATTGTTGGTTTTCATTGCATCCTTCATTTGCTTGTTATTGTTGATGGTGTTTTGGAAATAAAGGTTAAATAAAATAAAAATCCTAAACGAACAGAAAGAATGCCACTATAACCTTGCTGCATTATTAACAGGGATGAGTAATGGCATCGGGTCAATATTAAAGCTAAAACTTCTGTCAAAATACACAACTTTTAAATGTCTTTTATCAGATTCTTTGTGCTTCTAACACAATTTACATCATCAAATGATTGTTTGGAAGTTAATGGAACACAAAACTTATCAGGAATTTTGTAAAAACAGCAAATATTCCTTGCGTTTGTTTACAACTAAATTGGGCAAGCTATTAGTCAGTTATGAAGATTGTCCTGTTATAGTCTGAACGTTCTCGGCACAGCTCATTTGCAGATGGTCTTAGCACCAACTTTTGCTTCAACGCTCCCCACCGCTTGATTTCCTCTCCAAAGTGGCTTTTCTGTTGACCCTCGTCCTCACAGCTTTTAGTCACCGTTACGTTTCAGAAGAGAAAAGGAGAACTTAACAATCTCTCTTTCAACCTGGTGTCCTGATTTCATTGTTCTACCACTAAATTAGTTTACATACAGAGATTATTTTACCAACTCAGTATCCGTTGCGTACCGAGACTGAATGTAAACAAACTACTTGTAACAGTTAACAAAACATGACTTTGATTTAGTTCATTGCTTAGAAATTATGTGGTAGACTTTTAGTAAGTGTGTGATGAAGATTTAGTGGATTTTTTTCAATATCATAAATACACATATCCACCTTATTTCAGGGGGCTCTACTGTATAAATGATTATGGCACTACTTCCTGTCAGATACAGGAAGTAGCAGTGAGCATTGGTTACCATGGTAGTGGAGCACGGACCACTGTTTATTTGAAAGTAATTTTCATTCAGTTTAGCAGATAAAACACTGTTTTTGTTTTGTTTACATTTATTTAACAACCATAAAGTTTACTAAAATAGCCGTGCTGAGTTCAGGTACCTGTTGTGTTCACGGCTGCAGAACAACCAGACCAAACTAAACCAGTGCTACAACAGAGTTTTGAACACGGACACAAAACAAAGAGAGTGTTCCTGTGAAAAGAGGTTCAGTTTCCATCTCCCACCTACAGATGAGGAGTTAAGAAGAACGTGGCTGAAAAATGTGAACTTGAAGAGACCACCCAAAACTCTGTTCATTTCACTTTGCTGACAAACGGCCGACGGAGGAAAACCTGCATCCTACTTTGTGTCTGGACAATAAACCACCGGAGAAGAGACGCTGGATCCTCAGAAGGATTGAAAACAGTGACGACAATATCAGGTATGATTTCAAGTGTATGAAGGAAACAGCAGCATTACAGTATTTGTTCATCTTCAGTTTTATGATTTTCTCTGCAATTAACCCAAGCTCAGTGATGGAGGACTTTAAGGCTTTGGCTGCTCTGTGTCTGATTTAAAGTTAATAAGATTGTGTCCGACATCTTTTAACAAAACACGACTGACTTTATTACTGTGTAGATACTGATACACCTCAATGAAGTAGCTAAATATGCTAGTATAAGTAGCTAAATATGCTAGTATAGGTAGCTAAATATGCTAGTATAGGTAGCTAAATATGCTAGTATAAGTAGCTAAATATGCTAGTAGACGTAATCTGCAGCCACTTCTCCAGCTCGTCCTCCATCGTCGGTTGTCTGCAGTAGGCAGCAGTATGATTATATTGTCCAGATTGAGCTCTGACAGATGGTGTTCCTACATGTCTAAATTAAATCCACAGTGCTCAGAGAAACTACATTAGCTCGTACTGTTCACACATAAACAAATTTCGGTTCTGGTCTGCACCGGAAGTCACGCACATAATTCACACAAGGTGCCATGGGGCCTAGGAATAAGGTGGGTACAAGAAATTTAAATCACAAACATTGGAAAACTGTGCACTATGACAGCGATTATTGCTTTAACCTTTGACAGCTCTACACTTCAGAACAACCACTATGGTACAATGTCAAGGGAACAGGAATCTGGTACAACAGCATGCCGGATCACATCAGATATCTGAGATATAGACAGTTGCTTTGTTCATTCTTACCTTCATTTTGTCAGCCTGAGACATGTTTCCTCTCCTTTAGCCTGAAAGAAAAACAGTGTGCATCACAAAACATCCAACCAGGGACAAAAACGTATCTTGAAATATTTCAGGCCCGTTTGATTCCCTTGACTTTTTCATTTAGTCACATATATGGGCCTGTGTGACTGTGAGACAGGAAGTCTGCTTTGTGCTCAGAAAGAAAGGCCTTTACTCACCACAGAAAAAAACGGATTTTCTTCATCACCAGAGTTAAGATTAGAGGATAGCTGTGCTCCTAATGAATAATAATCCCTCCATGTATGTTCACATCTGATGCGAGCCATTGCGCTTTATTAATAAACTAACCCATGTAATTTTAAAGAACTGAAACAGCATTTAAACGAAACTCTGTGCATGAGCAGATGAAATTAACTTGTTGTTTTTCGGCACATTAATAATAAATCTAAACATGTTTAGGTTTGTTAGCTAGAACGAGCCTTTTTAGCTAGCTACTGTTTGCACTGGAATTAGCTGAGAAATTAGCTACAGCTAGTTATCCTGCGATTGGGGATACGAAGAGGACAGACTAGTCGTGTTTACCAGACTATTATTAACCCACAGTTCATTAACCTGGTTATCTTATGGTTAACTATATAAACTAGCCGCGGTAGCTTCTGCTGGCTGGAGGATGTTAACCAGCTAATGTTAGCTCCGCGAGCTAAACAGACCTGGTTAACTCAACAACCAGACGCTCGGTGATAAATAAGTGATGGAGTGTGTCGTGTTTACTTACTCTGTTCGCAGAAAAAAGATGGAGTAGATGGAGGTACAGGGGAGGAAAGACGAGCTGTCGAGGACAAGTAAACTTGGCGGACAAACACGTCAAATTCTTCAGATTCCGGTGCAGCGGCTTCCTTCAGACCACAGCAGCGACCGGAAGGAGGCAGACTGTTAGCTGAAGACAAATGCTGCTTTATTGTTTCACTTTTACTGAACTGATGCGACACAACCAATGAAGGCGTCCGCTTTTCTCTGACTTTAATGTTCAAGAAAGTTTCCAGATGATTAAAAAAAAATAGTTTCTCATCTCGAGCCCTAAAAAAAAAGTTTCACTGAAGTGAAATTAAAAATAAAACACGACGTGCTGCTTTAAATCTGACTTTATGAACTTCTACGTTACGGTATAAGTTTCTTTTGCGTTATCTTTTAGTTATTTGTCTTTTGTCAAAATAAATACACAGTAAAAAGATTATAAACAGCTCCACTTAATTAACTATAAAATAAAACTGGTAATCTTGTTTTCATATGGCTCGTTGGTCTAGGGGTATGATTCTCGCTTTGGGTGCGAGAGGTCCCGGGTTCAAATCCCGGACGAGCCCAGCGTTTTTTGCGGCTATTTCATTTTTTTCTTAGTGAGGTAAAAATACTGTTTCCCCTCATGCGAACAGAACCATTGTTTCTTTACAATGTTACTATATAAAATGTTTACGTTACTAAAAATGTGCTTATGATTGAGTCCTTATCTATACTACTCTCTTGTGGACTTTGACAAAACTGCAGTTCATAGAACTGCATGGTGTGTGTAAGGTATCAGTCAGTGCTACAATGAGAAGAACAGCTCCCACACTTCATGATGACCCTGACATCGCTATTCTTCCTGCAGATGTCCAAGAGTAATTGGCTGTCACAAATAAGCATAAATTATTTAGCTGTTTAAAGCACCTCCACAATCATAGCAAAAATAAATCATAAAAAGTGAAGACAAGTATTTCATCAAGTATTTCATTCATTCATTTAACCTTTATTTATACAAGTTAGTCTCATTGAGCCTCGAGGACGAGGACTCATTTACAAGAGAGGCCTGCTTTAAACAAAGAGCACAGATGAGGTACAGACAATAATAGACAATCATATAAAAGCATATAAAACGAAAAGTAAATAGAAGAAATGATATATAAAAAACAGCTACATTGTAAAGTGATGTAAAATACAAAAAACAGGAACATGTCTGCGTTGGTTTTTGCAATGAACTTAACAGTTCTTTCATATCCTTTAGAAAGGTCAAGCCCGAGAGCTTCAGATCTTTTTGTAAGATATTCCAGGAGCAGAGTAGGAGAAGGTTCATTTTCCAAGTTCAGTCCTCATTGAGGGAACACTGCAGGTAATGATGTCCTGAGAGCGCACGCTGTAGCTGCACTGACAAAGTGTCATGTCAAGTCATATTTAAGTCATATTTATATTTATGTAGGAGGAGATGTATGAAGGCAACAAACCAAGAAGTGATTTAAAGATGAAAATGTACCAGTGAGAGAGTCTGTGTGAAGTTAATGATGACCAGTTAACCAGTGAATACAGGGTGCAGTCGTGAGTGGGTACGATAGTTACAGCGTTTTGGCAGGATTTTTGTTTTACGGCATCTTGATGTAAAAAAAACGAATTTTTTAACATGACAATAATCAGACTCGTGGTGAATGTGACAGTTTGTGTCACCTTTGGCTTGCCAAACCAAGCACACTGCAAAAAAATGAATGATGCAAACTCCAAAACACACACAGACACACACACACACAAAAAAAACAAATTCAACAGAAAAATGCAAAGGAACAATGCTGCAAATAACAACACTAAACGCCCCCAAACAACTGGAAGTTCTTCTTTCTTCCCTGCAACGTTCTTATGGGCACCCCATTAATGTGTGTGCAAGGGACTGGTCCCAGATGTTGGTGGTCGAGTCCCCCTCCTGGTCTGGTGCTCCTCTGTTCTGAGGAGTGTTTCTTGCAGTTGTTTTGGGTATTTGAAGCATTTTCCTTTGTTGGTTGTATTCTTTTCTTCTATTTTTTGTGATTGCAAAATTGTGGCAGCATGGTGGCGCAACTGGTAGACCTGCTGCCTCTCAGCGAGCAGGTCCCTGGTTCAAACCCCGGTCCAGGGGCCTTTCTGGGTGGAGTTTGCATGTTCTCTCCGTGCATGCGTGGGTTTTCTCCAAGTGCTCTGGTTTCCTCATACAGACCAAAAACATGCATGTTAGGCTGATTGGTAACTCTAAATTGTCCCTAGGTGCGAGTGAGAAAGTGAATGGTTGTTTGTCTCTATGTGGCCCTGTGATGGACTTGCGACCCGTCCAGGGTGTACCCCGCTCCTCGCACAGTAATTGCTGGACATGGGCACCGGCGACCCCCGTGACCCAAAATTGAATAAGCGGGTAAAGATAATGGATGGATGGATGCAAAATTGTGCTTTTGCAGGATTTTTCTGTTGCATTTGTTTGTGTTTTGAAGTTTGCATCATTCATGTGTTTGCACCTGTCGGCCACCGCAGTAGTGCCTACAGTGACATTCGTTCCCATTTGAGCTCTAGTTAAATTTGAGAGATCTAACTTTCAAAATAAAAAGTGTTATTACTTCTTTTTTTAATGTGCAGCAGCTCTGTGGCTTTGCACTTTGCTCCATTTCCTCTTTCTTTAAACTCCACATCATCTGTGAAACAATAATCCAAATTTGGTTTGTCAAAATTCCTTCAGAGGAGCATCATGCAGGACATTCTGAGCTGAAACATCTTGCCTATAATTATCAGAATCAGATGGCTTAAAAAAATCTCGATGCTTTTCTGCTTTCACCCAGTAGGAGTTTATCTGAGTTTGCCAATGTGGTGCACCTCTGCTGCCTCCCATCCATCCCAGGTCTGGATAGTTGCTGTTCTGCTAAAATAAAAAAGTCTGAACGATATCTCAGTAAATCCACTCTTTCTGTTGTCTAGCAGCTCCCCAGAAGGTACACTATGTTTATTTTTTCCATAAGCTTCTTATGGCATCATGCTCCAGAGACTGTAAAGTGACCTCATCTTGTGAAGAGTACTTCTACGTCATTTCATCTTTTCTGCAGTCAGCCTGTTAGTAAAGCAGAGAAAGTCGATCAGTCATCTTTGTCTGTTAGAAAAAAACATTATGAACCACTGATATTAATGAAACTCCCAGTCTCGTGGTCGTGGAGGGGCCTAGTGAGCTGCTAACTTTCAACGCACCCAAAAGATGAGATGGTATCACTGCTGAGAGACCTGCATCCACATCGCTTGATCACCCTAACCTTAAACTTATTTCACCGTGGCCTTTATCTTTCAGGACTTTTGGTTTTATCATTGTATTGAGATCTGCTGGCTCTCACTAGCCTTAGCTTAACATGGCTTCAGGTTTCAATACATGCATTGTGTGCCAGATGTTTAGCTATAACACTGCTTCGTTTGAAGATAATGGTACATGTATCAAATGTTCTGATTTGTCAGTTCTGGAGAAAAGGATGTCGGACCTGGAGGCTAGACTCTGTGCTTTGAAAGACCATTAACTAGCCAGGCGCCCATAGTAGCCTGAGCAGAGCCACTAGCGCTAGAAACCACAGGCCGGCTGGGTGACAGCCCGAGGTAAACTAAATGCTACAACTTAATCCCCAGTTCACCATCGACCCGATAATGTTTCGAATGATTCTTCTCCCGTTCAAAACCACGTTTCAAATCAGTTTCCTCCACTCAGCTGCCCTGAACCTCAGGCCGGCTGGGCGACAGTCCAAAGAAAAAAATAATAGTAAAACTAAGCCCTCAGTCAACCATGTGAATGTTTCTGTTCAGTGCCCTGAGACGACTTCTGTTGTGACTTGGCGCTATAGAAATAAACTGAATTGAAAGTTAATCCTAAAAATGTTAATCACGTATTAACTTCTGGAGCCACATACAAATAGAGGGTCCACAGCTAATCATCATTAGGCAAAACAAGAACAACTGATTCATTCAGTTTGTCAGACACCGAGCTAAAATTTGGAGTGGTAGTAGATGAGAGTCATATAAAACACATCTTCTGAGCACTACACACTGCACAATATCTCATAAATTTGTACACAGTCAAAAGGTTTGTTCAAAGTGGCTCCAACTTGGTCCTTTCCTAATATAAGATGATTTGAGTCAACTGACGGCGGGCGATATGCATTCTTTGCTAGGCCTGCTAATGCTAGGCCTTTAATTGAATAAGCAGCTGCATGCTTAGCTGGCACCTTCCACTTCAAGCAGCTCTTCGTCTCTGCAGGATGTTGAGTCTCTCGTTGCAAATGTGTCCCGCTGACTGCTGATTCAGTTTTTTACGGGCTGCCTGACAGGGGCCAATACAGCCATGTGGCCCTCAGTTTTATCCTCACATGTTGGAGGAACTGTGTATTAATTTGGTTTAGATGGGGTTTTATGAAAGTGTGCTCTAAGCAGAGAAGACCCCCCCCCCCCCAAACTGTTTCCCACCCTCACCCTCAGATTGAAGCTATTTGCCACAAAGCCAAAGCATATTCCTCCATCAATGTGTCAGGGAAAAGCTATTAAATCTGCTTTACTTTTCCTAAGTGTCATATAAGCAAAAGATTTAGTGAAATCCTCCCGGAGCATTAAATATCTGGGGGGATTTTCCCCTGAAATGTTTCCTAATGGACCAATGAGAAGTGTCAGAAACTCTTATTAGACTTGAATCTCTCTGGGTTTAAAGTGTTTTGCTTGGAGCTGAAGTGACAAAATTTGGGCTGCGAGCAGATCTGAACTTTTCACATAATCACGTTGAAACGTGTCCATCGGTTCACACAGAGAGCAAAGACCAAGCATGAATTAACTTTAAAATACACACTAAATTTTATGTGGTCTGTTTACAGCATATGATGCAAATTCTCAGAAAATGGGTGCTAAAACAAAGCCCAATAATTTCTTAAAGGAATATCACCCATTGTCTCTCAGGTCATCACCTAAAGTCAGAGTCAGTGATTCTTTATTGTCATTCGCACCTTATGTGGTACATGTGGAGCGAAATTATGTACACAGGGTCCCAGTTACATCCAACAATAAAATGTAAAAGAAAAACAGTAATAACATCTAAGATATGAACTAAGAAAAACATCAACTAAATATACACTAAGC